GAAAGGTGCAGCAGGAATGGGACGGAATGAACATCGCTTGGGTAACCGGAAGCGGGTGGTCGTGTCCTACCCATCAAAGAACAATGCAAAGTCATTGTTTTTCTCGACAACATAGACTTTCTTGTCGTCGACGCTGCGAAAAGTGCAGCAGGAATGGGACGCGGCGCACATCGCGCGCGGACGCCTGGCCAACCCTTTGCGGGACCCCCCGTCCTACTTGGCCAAAAACACCGCAACGTATACGCTTTTCTTGCCAACGTGTATTTTCTCTTCGTCGGCGCTGCGAATCGCGTCGCGGGAATGGGACGCGGCGCATATCGCACGGGGACGCCTGCTTGTCAACATGGACTTTCTTGTCGTCGACGCTGCGGCCCGTCGGGTTGAGGAGCTGGGCGGGCGGCAAGCCAGAATGCCTCGAGTAACTGTGGTTTAAGCAAGTGCGTCAGGAGACCCCCAAGAAGTCCCAAAAAGGCGTCCAGGAGGTCTTGGGGAGGCAACACAAATATTGATGTTCATGTGGTGTTGGAAGATTTGTGAGGTTAGCACCTATTTGTGTTGACAATATTCCATCCCGGAAGATATATCCAAGAGGCCCTCAGGCGTATGCCAGAAAACTTCCAGGACGCCCCGCGAATTCCCAAGAGGCATTCTCCTCTTCCTCCTCACTTTCTCCTCCCCTCCCTTTCTCCCTCCCCTCCTCCTCTTCCTCCTCCTCCTCCTCCTCCTTCTCCTCCTCCTCCTCCTCCTCCCCCTCTTCCATGCGCGGCAGGAGCGAAACGATTGGCGTTGCGCACGCGCGGCTTGAATGGAACGCGGCGCACTTCGCGCGCTGGACATGTTGTCGCTGGCGATGCAACATGAGAGGCCGGAGCGGGGCACGGCGTACATCGCGCGCGGTCTTGCTTCTCGTCGACGTTGCTCAATGCGCGGCAGGAATAGGGCGCAGCTCATGTCGCGCACTGAACGTCTAGCCGCCCGCGACAGAAGATGAACGACCGGCGTCGGACGCGACGCACTTGCTTTTTATGTTGTGGGAGGGCGGGTGGGAGTGGACGGATCACTCTGGCTCGTTTGAGCTGGCTGACTTGATTCACACCCACACCCACACCGGCACGCGCGCGCACACGCACGCAAACACCCACCCACCCACACGCCCACACCCACACCCACACCCACACCCGCACGCGCGCGCACACGCATGCACGCACGCACGCACGCACGCACACACACAATCACACACAGACGCGCACACACGCAGACACGCGCACACACAGACACAGACACAGATACGGACACTGACACAGAGACATTGCCACAGACACACAGACACACAGACACACAGACACACAGACACACAGACACACAGACACACACACATACACATATAAGCACACACACACACACACACACGCGCGCACACACAAACACGCCGACAGGGTCAGCATACTTGTTCAGACTCAGACGACTAGGGTGTTTGGTTTCTCTTTACGAGATGGCAACCTGCCTACGATAAGGACCAAACCTCCTGCTCTATTATCTTCACGGCTAATTCTGACAGCTTTCCAGCGAGGGAATCCACGGTAGCCCTAACGAGCTTTCTAGAGGTCCCGACACAGCAGAGTTGGCTGCGCGCCTCCACCGCGTGGCATGGCTTCAGCATCCCAATATCCGTGATGTGGTGTATACTTTCATTGGCGGGCGCCAGGGATTTATATTCGGCAGTGTGCTGTTCAATGGTGCATGTAGCACTGTTCATGTTGCGCACTGAGATTGCTAAATTAAGTCCAGGATTGAGACTCAGCAGCAGCGCCGTAGCGTGTTGGAGCTCCAGTTCCCATGTTCGTAGTCGGACGTCCACCGGCGAAGGCGTCATCGATGCGGTATGTATTGATGATGGGTGTCTCGTGCTGCTTGCTTCTGCTCCTGTTCGCCTCAACCTCGCAGCGCAGGCACTCGTGAAAATTGTAGCTGGGAGATCTGCATGTGCGAGAATAGCTACAGAAACCCAGACGTTCAGAGGTCCGCGTGGATCCCTTGGATTGGCGCGCGGACCGCGCCAGGGGGGTCCACCGCCGATCCAAGAAATCCGCGCGGATCTCCGCATGTTCATGTTTGTGCTTGCTTTTCTTTCAGAATCGCGCCCAGAATCGAGGAGTATTTCAGCAGCGGGGGTCGGAGCCTCCACTCTGGAGGTCGTGGGGATCTCGGGGATCATATTGCCCACCCCCTCTCTCTCTTCGTTCTCCTCCCCGTCCTCCTCCTCCCCCTCCTCATCCTCCCCCTCCTCCTCCTCCTCCTCCTCCTTTTCCCCTTCCTCCCTCCCCCCTCCTCTTCGGCCTCCTCCTCCTCCTCCTCCTCCTCCTCCTCCTCCTCCTCCTCCATTCCTTATCCTTGTAAATAACATTCTCCTGTCGCACCCCGAGGCCGGTCGAAAGCGCGGGCCGGGCGTTTCGCCCGAAACTTCTTCACCATTTGTGGTTTTGAAGCTTCAAAAATGACAGCAGTTTCACAGATGGAGGGCGGGTCGTTTTCAAACTGTGGCTCTCGCCTTAGCGCCGCGCACATTCGTTTTCAACATTTGCAAGGGTTTCACGGGTTGAGGGCGGGCCGTTTTCATAATGTGGTTCTCGCTTTAGCGCCTCGCACATTCGCTCTAAACATGTGCAAGAGCTTCTCGGATTGAGGGTGGTTCGTTTTCAACATGTGGCTCTAAAATTAGCGCCGCACACATTCGGACCATTCGTCAAACAAATACAAGAGTTTCACGGATTTATGGCGGCGCACTTTTTAAAAACAGCGCGGCGCACTTTTTTTAAACAATTGCAAGAGCTTCTGAAACGCTTTCACGGACCCCGTGGAACTTTCACGGGTTCCCATGGTCAACGTACCCGAAATCGTATTTTGGACAGAGTCTGGATTATGAGGGTGCAGCAGTTCCGTTGATTCGCGGTGGTGAAGTCCCAGGAATGGCGTTTTCGCACGATTCAGGATCTTCAAGACGCAGCAGTCAGGTTGATCCATGGCGCTGGAGCCCGAGAATAATGTTCTGGCATGCTTCAGGGTCTTCAAGCGGTTGTCTTCCAACGAGCCAGTTCCCTCAGTGGAAACGAATCCTTGTCGGGGCCTGCCTATGAAGAGGGAGAGGGAGGGTTATGCCAACATCGTTGATGACTCTTGGGTTTACACTGGTTCTCCTCCTCCCTCTCCTCCTCCTCCTTCTCCTATTCCTCCTCCTCCTCCTATTCCTGCTCCTCCTGCTCCTATTCCTGCTCCTCCTGCTCCTCCTCCACGTCCTCCTCCTCCACCTTTCTCCTCCTCGCCTCCCTCCTCGTCCTCCTTCTCCTCCTGCCCCTGCTCCTCCCCCTGCTCCTTCCCCTCCTGCCCCTCCTTCTCCCCCGCCGCCCCTTCTCCTCCTCCGCCTCCTCCTCCTCCTTCCTCCTCTTCTACATCGGTGACAATGCGGCAGTGCTGGCTGCCCGAGCTAGCGGGTGCGTGTGCACCACTAGTCCAGCGTGGGTTGACGCTGGGCACTGGCGCCGAGTCAGGCGCGGGGACCTCGCGTACAGCGCGGGTCTCAAGATCAAGTCCCACCAGGGCGTCCCAGCCGCCCCTCAGAGCGAGGGTGAGTGGCGGGTCGTCCTGAACTCGTGGGCCGACGACGCAGCCAAGCAGGCGCTCAACTTGAGGCCCAGGCATGCCCGAGACGAGGTGCGCCTGGAAGACGCGTGCGCCGAGGAGCGCCGTGGCCTGTTGAACCTGGGGCGGGTGCTGGCGAGTGGGCCAGCTCTCAAGGTGGAATGGGCCCACCTGCCCCCGCGTGTGTGTCCCCCGTCGGTGGTCAGACCTCGCTATCTCCAGCACGAACAGCGCGAGGTGGCCGAGGGCCGTTGGCGGTGCGTTCAGTGCTTGCATGGCTGTCGGAGCTGGAAGGCTGGGATGGCCTCCGAGTGCGGGCGCGGGGCGCCCCCGAGCTGGCGACAGCTGCGGCAGCACGCAGCCTCGCATGCTCTGTGGGACGCGATCATCGGGCCCAGTGACATGCCCGCAGAGCAGGGCGACTTTCTGCTGTACTGTGACCAGTGTGCGCAGCATGCGCAGCTGCTGCCGAGCGGGCTGGCAGAACCTTGCCCAGCTCGCCAGCCAGGTTTCGTGATGGCCAAGATGGCCAAGGAGCGGCGAAGCCGCTTCGAGCGAGGCAAGCACCCGCGCACAGGACGCGCGGAGGTGGTTCTGCAGAACTCATCTCTCGCAGATTTGGGTTTTCTCACTCGAGGGAGTGAGGCTCGTGCATCGTGCACTCTCTGCAGCTAGCATGCTCGGCGTCCACAGAGGGAGTATACAACAAATCCTCCTCTTCCTCCTCCTCCTCCTCCTCCTCCTCCTCCTCCTCCTCCTCCTCCTCCCCTTCCTCCCCCCTCTCCTCCTCCTCCTCTTCCTCCTCCTCCTCCTCATCCTCCTCGTCCTCCTCCTCCTCCTTTCCCTCCCCATCCTCTTCTTCTTCCTCCTCTTCCTCATCGTCCTCCTCTTCCTCCTCCTCAGCATCGTCATCATATCCAGCCTCATGCATCATCAGTATCAACAGCAGTATCATTATCACCACCCTCACCGTCACCCTCACCATCATCGTCAACACGATCAACATCAGCATCAGCATCATCCGCACCAGCAGCATCATCATCAGCATCATCATCATCATCATCATCATCATCAGCAGCTCACCACCGCCGTCATCACCATCACCATCACCATCACCATCACCATCACCATCACCAGCATCATCCTCCTCCTCCTCCTCCTCCTCCTCCTCCTCCTCCTCCTCACCATCATCGCTCATCGAGCAGTCCTGAGAATGGGTCCAGAACCACTCCTCGCCCTCGTGCTCACGCATCCGTCGTGCTCGCCCGCCGCCGGACCTCGCCTCCCAAACCCTCCTGCTCTCTGGCACGGGTGCGCGCTTCTCCTGCGCCGGGCGTCCGGAGACCCACGCCGCCGGCCCGCGCAGGATGGTCCCCGCCATCCAGAGCGGAGAGACCATGCGGCACGCCCTGCAGACGTTCGCGGCGTGCGACAGGGATCACAACGGCTCCCCCGCGCTCCCCTCGTCCGATTTTCGCGTCCTCCTGCGCCCCCTCCAGGCTGCTTCGCCACTCGTGCTTCGTCCCTGCCGCTGCTGTTCCTCCTCTTGCTCGTCGTCCTCCTCCCGTGGCATCTGGGGTCGCCTCCTCCTCCCGTTCCCCTTCCCCTGAGGGGTGCTGCAGTCAAATGCTTGCTACAGGAGGAGAAGGGTGGGGAAGCACCAGTAAGAGGATGTGCGTAAGAGTACGTAAGCAGGGGGAAGATGAGACGGCGTCGGGCGGAGAGGGGGGGGGAGGACGACTAAGACGAGGATTGGGAGGCGGTGGAGGAAGAGGATACTTAGGAAAAGAAGGATGATGACGAGACGGGGGAGCAGAAGGGGAGCGGAGGAGGGACAACTATTTTCAACGAGTGTATGCTCAAACGCCACAAACGTCAATCATCTGAGTCTGTCTGTCCAGGAGGCGTCCCTGAAGGAGCAAGCATCCCGAGCTGAAGATTGAGTGCGTCTTCGTGCCGTTCCATTAGCTCGGACGTGTGCCCTTACAGGCTTTGCGCACCGCCAGGCTTCGTCACGTCGGCCACCGCCACTGTCGTTGGTCGCCATCACCCGAGTCGGTGGCCCTGTGGCGGCGGCAGTGGCAATGCCGAAGCGCGCCTTGAGTTCAGCAAGGCATGCGGGTGCAAACCCGACTTGTCTGGCTACTTATCCGAGGGAGAATTGTGCTGAGGGAAGGCTGCGAAACCTTTCAACGATGTGTTTTTTTTAACCGAGTCTGCAGGGTGGGCGCTGTCCTTCTCTGTGCACTTGAGCGTTGATTCCTGCTTCAGCTTTAGCAGAAGGGGAAAGGAATGAGGACACGAGCGAAGAGGAGGGGGAGAATGCGGAGGAGGGGCAGGGGAGGAGGCAGCAGGAGCAGAGTGAGAGAGTGACGAGGACGAGAAGGAAGAGGATGACATGGGGGGGTAGGAGCTCTCCATGGGCCCAATCAGTTCCTCCTGTTGATAGGGCGCCAATTCGACCCCAAACAAGTGTTTGAGAGAGGTGCCCCCATCTGGCAGCAGGTGAGTTGGAGAAACAGCTGGAGGAGGAAAAGGACCAGGCGGGCCTAGGATGAGGATGAGTCTCTCCAGGGTGTCCCAGAACGCTGTCTGAGCGTTCCGGAGCGCTCTCTAGACTCGCCGTTTCACAGGAATTACAGGTTTATCCCATCCCGATCTTACCTTGATCTTGTCGTCGCCACATAGGATGAGCAGGAGGTCGCGGATTGTGTTTCTGAAGTGGAAGCTGTGCGAACGGCGACCAGTTGCACAAGGCGATGCAAGCTATCCGAGCGAAGGGCCCAACCCTTTCTACAGCTGCTTGCGGCATAGGGCGCGTGCCCCATTCTCTTCGTGTGCGGTGCGGGCACGGGGCGGAGGAGCAAACGGGCAGAGGCGTGCTGAGCTCCTTGTGGGGCACGACCCGCACGAGGTGGGTGCTGAGTTGGAGGACGTCACCGCGCGAGCGCGCCCATTGAGGCTGCACGCGGAGCTGCAAGGATGGTGGGCGGGACGCCCTGCGAACTTCTTCGCTGGTGCGGTAGGTGAAGCTCTTGGCGGGGCGCGATCCACGCGATCCACGTGAAGGGTGCGCCGCACTGGGCGGGGGTGTTGCATGCGAACCCTCTCTCTAGGGGCGTAGGTGTAGGTGAACGCCCCTGTGGAGCACGAAACACGCGTGGAAGTGTCCCGAAATGGCCACGGTGGCGGCGCGCGGTATCTGTGTCGCCGAGGCTGCATGTGGAGCTCCCCGTGGAGCACGACGCGCGCGAGGGGTGTGCGCAGGGCCATGCACACTGTGTCGCCAGGGCCGCAGACAGGGTTCTCTTGGGGGCCCTGGGCATGCGAGCGATGCTGCGGAAGCGGGGCGGCGACACGCGGACAGAGGGTCCGATGGTGCAGGCCTGGCCGGTGGCAACACTTGCATGGCTCTACCTCTCACCTCACTGTGTGCTGCCCTTCAGGCGAACGCGTCTCTGGGGGGCATCTCGACTCATAGTGCGGGCTCTGTTCCCCTGGGGGTGGGCATATGCGGATAGGCTCACTGGTACGATCATCCCTCTCTCAGACAGAGTGTCTGGGGCAGAGTGTGGAACTCCTTCTGGGGCAGGCAACGCGTGGGAGGGTGCCGAAACATGCGGTGGGGCAGCACGCGGACTGTGCCGCTGGGGCCGTAGGTGAAGCTTCCTGTGGGACAAGGAACGTGTGGTGGGGGGTGTGGGGGGGGGGAGAGGGGGGGAGAAATCGGCGGGGGCCAGCATGCGGATTGTGCCGCTGGGGCCCCAGGAGGAGCTGTTTGAGGGGCACGAAACTTGTGAGCGGTGTGCCGACATTGGCGAGGGCGCAAAGAGAAGGATGACGAGGGGAAGGTGGTGAGGTGAGGAAGGATGCGCGCGGCACTGCGGAGTGAAGACAAGGACACCAACACAGGATGGGTGGGGGGGTTCTCTCTCTCTCTCTCTCTCTTTCTGCCTCTCTCTCCCCCGCCAGCCCAGAGGCTCTTAGACACCAGGGTACGACCGGCTGAGTAACACATGCACGTGCAACGTTTGAATGAGATTCGAGAGCCCGTTGGAATAAAACAAAATTGCAGGCTTCCTCTCGTGGAACAACGGCGAGATCCGGAGCTTCATCGCCTCCATCTTCCAGCAGCACGGCCTGCATCCTCCGAATGAGTGCCCGCCCTGCCCTGTCAGCTCGCGCAGACGCACCGACTCAGCTCACAGCGCGTCAGCACGCAATCCCTCAGATTTCCCGTCTTCCGTCGTCGCCCGCTTTGCCCTCTATTCTCTTCTGTGCACACGCCATGCCAACATCGCTTGCAATCGTTTGATCTAATACCGCCACAGCGCGATTCAAATATGTGTGTGATCGTTGGGGATACCCACTTTCCATTGCTTTTGCTCTTCTTGAGAGATCCACGAACCCAGCGAGGAACTTGAGTAACATGTTCTTCTGACGCGCGTGGAACGCTTTCCCTTGACTTGGCTGCAACTACTACCTACGTTCTGCTGATCCTCCTCCTCCTCCTCCTCCTCCTCCTCTTCGTCCTCATCCCCAACCCTCCCCCTTCTCCTCCTCGTCCTCCTTCTTCCTCCTTCCTTCCTCCTCGTCATCATACTCCTGCCTCCATACTCTTTCTCCCCATCGCCATCTCCCTCCTGCACGGCGGCGCTTGTGTATGCGTGAACAGTCCAGCGCGACCAAGATGGGTTCCCCCCCTGGGGGCCGTGGACACTTAAAAATACGTGCCCGGCGCGCACGCGTCAAGCGCATGTCGGGTTCCCCCTCTCCGCGCACGTGTTTTCACGTGTGACAGATCCGACGCGCCCAGGTTGGGTCCCCCCTCCTGGGCGCACGACTTTTCGTGTGTAGAAAATCAGACGCGCCCTAGTTGGGTGCCACCCCGGGGGGGCCGTGGACACGTGAAAAGACATGCTTCCTGGCAGCCCTGGCAAGGCGCCCTGCCCGAACAGGTTCGACCCGCATGCCACGGCCGTGCTGTGGCTCTCGAGCAGGACGGTGTAACCGCTGCCGTCGGCGGTCCGTGTGTAGCCTCCCATCAGCGCCGGGAGAGCGCAACGGCCACCGACAAGCATGCCGCAGGCCACGGCAGAGCCATCGCTCCTGAGCAAGACCGCGTGTGCAGAACCAGCGGCGACCTGTGTGGAAGTCAGGCCTCCAGCCAGCGCCGGCAATGCGCACTGCTCCCAGCTGTGGTCGCCGCGTGCCACTGCTGTCCCGTCGCTCCCACTGCGTGGCGGCCTCTGGCAGCGACGTGCGCGTGGGCCAGGTTGTCCAGGAACTCGAAGGTTGTGGTGACAGTGATAGAAGAAGAAAAAACACATCAACATAAACTTTTAGCGCTCCGCGCGGATCTCTTGGATCCGCGCTGGACCCCCCTCCCTGGCGCGCTCCGCGCGCCAGGGGCGGCGCCGGAGGTGTCGCCGAGGGGCCCAGGCGCGGATCCAAGAAATCCGCGCGGAGCGCCAAAAGTTTATGCTTATGTGGCTTTTTCCTTCTTCGAAGTGAGCGTTGTCGCCGCAGGCGACGGTTGAGCCGTCGCTCCGCAGCAGAACCGTGTGGCCGGCCCCACAGGCCGTGCCCGCCTGCGAGGGGCATCGCGCTGGGCGTCGGGCTTGGGCCCAACTGGCTGCGAGAAACACCCCTGCCTTAGCTGCCTTCGAAACGTCCGTCTTGAAACGCAACACGTGCCGTGTTCAAAGGGTCCGTGTTAACACGCTGCGCGCTGGCTCAGCGTATTGGCCCACGTCTTGGCGAACGTATCGCGTCATACCTTCGTTTTCAGTCTACGCGTTGAGTTCCATATAAAGACGCTACGTGTTGCGTATTGCGCATCGGGGCACTTAAGATCCTGACATGCAAAACCGATCCTTGGAGGAATTCATTGAGGGCTTCGGAGGAGGCCGGGGGGCAGTTCGCAAACCCGGGACCAGCAGCCAAACATTCGACAGCGAACAAATCACTTCGGAGCGACATGTCAAGATATCCCAGACGTCGGAGCTTCGGATTCGGGGGCAATTAGCAGAGTAATCGAGGACGAAATAACAATCCCCGGGGGAAGAGGCCGAGCGCTCCAGGGCATCGTCCAACCCCCGAAGGAAGAGATCCTCTCCGTGGCGACTCCTCCTTGGGGTGTCCAGGTGCTCAAATGTTTCGCCTGCCAGATCGCGGTGATCGTGGGGCCCTCAAGAGAGAAAAGTCAAAGCCATCAGACAGGGAAGCAGTCTGAGACATCCCCACAACGCGGGCGCGAGCGGGCAAGGGTCCCCCCCCCCCCTGGCGCCGCCGTGGGGTGCCCAGCTTTTCTCGCCTATTGCATCGCGGCGACCATGGGGCTCCCAGGAGAGAGGAGTCTGAACAACCAAACAGGTAAACCAGCCGAGACATCGCCACAAACTGGGCGCGAACGGACAAGTGCCCCCATCCCTGGCGTTTTCTCTCTGGGGCGTCCAAGCGCCACGCCTGCTGCATCGCCGTCATCATGGGGCTCTCAAAGGCGAGGAGGGAGGAATCTGGCCAGGTAGATCCCCACAAGTTGGGCGCGAACGGGCAAGTGTCCCCTTCCCTGGCGATTCCTCGCTTTAGTGTCCAAGCGCCATGCTCGCGACGTATGGCGTGAGTTAGTCTGAGCGTGAATGAGCTCGACTGTGAATGAGTATGTGCTAGCGCGGTCTGAGTATGAATGTGTGGTTGCAGGTGCGTTTGAGTGCGTGTTTGTGTGTGTGTGTGTGCGTGTGTGTGTGTGTGTGTGCGTGTGCGTGCGTGCGTGCGTGTGTGTGTGTGTGTGTGTGTGTGTGTGTGCGTGTGTGCGTTGTAGCGTGTGTGTGTGTGTTGTGTGTGTGTGTGTGTGCGTGTGTGTGTGTGTGTGTGTGTGTGTGTGTGTGTGTGTGTGTGTGTGTGTGTGTGTGTGTGTGTGTGTGTGTGTGTGTGTGTGTGTGTGTGTGTGTGTGTGTGTGTGTGTGTGTGTGTGTGTGTGTGTGTGTGTGTGTGTGTGCGAGTGTGTGCGTGTGCGTGTGCGTGTGCGTGTGCGTATGCGGGGAATTGGTGTGAGTCTCAACGAGTTTGAGTATGAGTGCGTCTGGCTATGACGAAGCTGAGTCTGATTGCGTATATGCGTGAGTGGTGCGTGTGTGTGAGCGAATCCGAATGCCAGTTAGTGTGCTTATATGCGAGTATTTGTATGAGCGGGTTCGAGCGTGAGAGAGTTTGATTACTGGTGAATCTGAGTGTGAATGAGTCTGCGTATGAGCGGTTCTGAGTGTGAGTGAGTCTGCGTATGAGCGGTTCTGAGTGTGAATGAGTCTGGGTGTGGGCGAGGAATAGACAGCGGGAAGGAGGACGGAAGGAATTGGAGGCATCCCGATATTGACAAGACCCCCATACTCACGATGTGGAGAAAACAAGAGATTGGCATCCTGTGCGTAAGACGCATACATTGAGAGGGCAGGATACGTTCAGAACGTAGTCGGGGGGCGAGAGGGCAGTAGCGCATAGATTAGATATTTATAGAGGGCAGCGACTGCAGGTATCAGCTGTTCGACCTCTACGTGAAGTTCGACTCGGACGCTGCTCTCCTCTGCTTTGCCACACCCCTTTCGGCGGCGCGCCCTGGGGGGAAGGTACAGGGTGCGCGCCTTCTCAGGAGGCTCAGAAGGAATCCCGCCTTGTGAGAGTCTCCCCAAGCCTTGCTCGAAACCCCACCCCCTCTTATCGTCATCGTCATCGTCATTCCGCCTTGTGAGAAACTCCCCAAGCCTTGTTCGAACCCCCACCCCCTCTCATCGTTACTGAGACGAGATCGGCTTTTTGAAAGCCGCCCGCCTTCAATCCGTTAAACTCTTGCATTTGTGTTGGACGAGTGTGCGCGGCGCTAAAGCGAGAGCCACATTTTGAAAGCCGCTCGCCCTTCATCAGTGAACCTGTTGCCAGTTTCGAAGCCTCATATTCGTAAGTGGTAAGGAAGTCTCAGCCGAATTGCCCGGCCCACCCTTCGATTGGCCTCGGGGTGCGACAGGGAGGAGTTAAACAATTGAGGAGGGGTCCGAGGGGGAGGGGCATGCTGGAAAGTTTTGCTACCGCTCCGAATCCTGACCGCTCCACGTCCCCAGAGGCCCACGGAGGCCGCGGAGGAGGTCCTCGCAGTTCCCCAGGACGGTCCCAAGAGAACGCAGGTGCCGAATCAGCTCCTCATTTCATGTCATGTCATGTCGCTAACTTATCACTGCAGAAACAGACGGCTGGCACCTGTGAGGGATTTCGAGGACTGCCGAGGGTATCGTGTACGGTTGCAGGCTTGATGCTTGCATGTGGAGCGTTCCAAAAAGGGCCTCGCCTTCGAGGATAGAAGGAGTTGTCATCTCTTCGTCGGCGGAGGCGGCAGAAGGCCGGCGGAAGGCAGCGGAAGTAAAGCGAGGCCGCCTCCGCTGGCGGAAGCCTGCAGAAGGCCGACGGAAGGCGGCGGAAGTTAAAGGTGTGCCCCGAAGAGATGGAAACGTTTTTTGGTTCAGGGTTTTTGGAATCCGCCCTGTACCTTCGCAGGCCTCCCCCCTTCATCCCATCTTCCTCCTTGTCCTTGTCCTCATCTTTCTGTGCTCGTCATTTTCCAGGGGGAAACGACACTGCTGGAACGGCTGAGCGGCTTTTCGCCTGTCCGGCACAAAGAGGCAGCGACCCCGATGGGCGCATGCACATGAGTATGCGCCCACCCCGACCTACCCAAGGCATCGCGGCCAGGACGGAGATCAAGAGCGAATGAAAGACAGCGGGAAGGTGGACAGAGACGTGCCAACCTTCCCGCCAGAAAGGCGTGGACATTAGGAATCGAGCTCCACACAGCGGCAGCCGTCCCTGCAGTCGGAAGCGATCCCTTCTCTGCGCCCAGTGGCTGGGCAATACAAAATCCGTCAGTTTGTCGACGCTGGCGGCAAGCCCAAGAGGACGAGAGAACGAGGCTTAAGAACAGTGCCAAGGATGAGGTGGGGCAGGACGAGGAGGAGGAGGAGGAAGTGACGTAGGAGGAGGACGAGGAGGATGAGGAGGAGCCGGAGGCAGAAGAGACTTTCCTCTTCGGCCCTCTGACGATGTCCTTGTCATTGTCGTCGCCACTGTTGTCGTCGCCACTCATGTTCAATACATGCGTATGGATGTGCACATGTGCAGCTGTGTTGCCGTCGAGGACCAGGGCGCGCTATAATATGAGCGCGCATTCCGATGCATGTATGTATGTGCGTATGTGCGTATGTATGTATGCACATATGCATGTTTCTATGTATGTGTGTATGCATGTATGTATGTATGTATGTATGTATGTATGTATGTATGTATGTATGTGTGTATGTGTGTATGCATGTATGTATGAATGTATGCATGCATGCATGTATGTATGTATGTATGTATGTATGTATGTAGGTATATCCATATGTATGTATGTATGTACGCACGTACGTATGTATGTATGAATGTATGTTTGTTTGTGTGTATGTATAAGTATATGTACACATGCATACATGTAGGTATGTATGTATGCATGAACTTACATGTATGTGAATGCATGCATGCATGTGTGTATACATTCATGTGTGTATGTATGTATGTATATGTGTATGTATGTAAGGCATATCGGCATGTGTGCATGTATGTGTGTATGTATGTATGTATGTATGTTCGTATGTATGTATGTATGTATGTATGTATGTATGTAGGTATGTATGTATGTACGTATATATGTATGTATGGATGTATGTATGTATGTATGTATGTATATATGTATGTATGTTTGCATGTATGCACGTACTCATGCACGTATGTATGTATGCATGTATGTATGTACGCATGCACGTTTATGTATTTATGTATGCATACATGCATGTATGCATGCATGCATACATGCATGCATGTATGTCTGTATGTATGTATGTGTATGTATGTGTGTATGTGTGTACGTGTGTAGGTATGTATATGCATATAGATTGTCTGGGTTCAGCACCTGTCGCCCCGAGGACTGGCCGGAACAGCACGCACTATACGTTGTTGTCTTGTGACGTTTCTGCGAAGTCCCCCCCACATACCGTTGTGTATGTATGTATGTACGTATGTAAGTATGTAGGTATTTATATACGTACGTGTATATTTTTGTGGCCTCTGGCCAGTGCCGCCGATCCGAGGCACTCCGGGGGATGATGATGATGATGATGATGATGATGATGATGATGATGATGATGATGATGATGATGATGATGACGATGATGATGATGATGATGATGATGATGATGATGCTGATGATGCTGATGATGCGTCTGTGGCCGTGCATGAGTCATGCTGCTCGTTCTGCTGTTGGTGCTGTTGCTGATGCTGCTGCTGCTGCTTGTGCTTGTGCTGCTCTTGTTGGGGGCGTCTGTCGAAGGGGGGGGGTTGTCGGAGGGGAGAGAGGTCAGTCGGAAAGAAGGAAGGAGAGGGGGGTGTGTGTCGGAGAGAGGTGGGTCTGTGCAGGACAGGAGAGGCTCTGTCGGAAAGAAGGAAGGCCATTTCTCGGAGAGGTGAGGTCTGTCCTGGAGGAAGGGGGGTCTGTCGGAGAGGGCGGGGGTGTCTGTGACAGGGGGGGGCGCTCTTAGGGCGGCCTTGGGTCTCTCTTGGGCTTCTCTCTTGGGCGCCCTTGGGTCCTTCTGGGGGTCTTTTGGAGGCATCCTGAGGCCTCGGATGGTCATCGGAAGAGAAGGGGCGAGGGGCAGAAGTCATCAGTCATCCGTAGGTATTCGAAGGATGCTGTTTTCTTGGAAGGTTCCCTGGGGAGCTATTTGGTGCCTGGAGCCGTCTTGGGGCGGCCTCGGGGCCTCTTGAAGCATCTTCGGATTCATGTTGATGCATCTAAGGCTATCTTGGAACATCTCGGAGGTGGGTGTGGGATGGCCGGGTGAGGGGGGGTCTGTCTTGGAGGCCAGGGGGTCTGTCGAAGGGGGGGGAGAGATCGGTCGGGGAGGGGGGGGATCTGATCTGAAACAGGAGAGGTCTGTCTGCGAGTCGTCGCGGGCCGTCTGGGACGCGTCTGTGGAAGTGCGCTGGTAATGCTACTGATACTGCTCGTGCTGCAGTTGGTGCTGTTGCTGATGCTGCTGCTGCTTGTGCTGCTCTTGTTTTTTTGGGGGGGTCAGTCGGAGGGGGGGGTCTGTCCTGGAAGGGGTGGGGGGGGGGCGTCGGGGAGGAGGGAAGAGATCTGTCGGACGGGGGTGGGGTCTGTCCTAAAACAAGGGGGGTACGTCTGCGAGTCGTCGCGGGCCGGTTGGGAGAGATGAGGTCTGTTTTGGAGGGGGGGGGTCAGTCGGAGTGTGGGGGGGGTGTCTGTGAGAGCGGGGGGGTCTGTAGGAGAGAAAGCGGAAAAGCGGAAAGGGATATGTCGGAAGGGGAGACAGGGGGAGGGTTATTGTTTGGGGAGGGGGGGGGGTTGTCGAAGGGGCGGGGAAAGTGTGGGAGAGAGGGCGGCGTCGGTCCAGGACAGGAGAGAGGCTCTGTCGGAAGAACGGAAGGAAATGCCTCGGAGAGGTGAGGTCTGTGTATGTATGTATGTATATACATATATACACATACATAGATATATATACACATATTCCTATTTATATATTTTTACAGGGGCGGGGACCCCAGAAAAGCGGCACACGGTGCCCCCCCCAAAAAAACGAATTTCGGTCTCCCCGAGCCTTTGGGGCGCTCCTGCAGAGTGCTCCGTGTCTGTCCTGCGAGTGCGACGCGAACAAAAAAAACCCACGACGGCCAAAGAGGGCCCCGCGACACCCAAAGATCGGCCCCAAACGCCCAATCTGGGCCCAAGACTGCCCAAGACGCGTCCAAGACGCCCCCATAGACCCCCAAGGGGCCTCCCAAGAGAGCCCCGAGAGGCTACAATTGTAGATTTTCCTGTGTGTTGTTCGATGTTTTTGGCCTTCTCGCTTTTCCCGCTTCCCGACGCTCCACAATGGCCCAAGAGGCTCCCTAGATCGCCCCAATACTGCCCAAGAAGCCCCCAAGAAGGCCCCAACACGGTCCAGGAGAGCTCCGAGACCGCCCAAGAGGCGCCCAAGACGGCCCAAGAGAGCACCAAGACGGCCCCAAGAAAGACCCAAGAGGGCGCCCAAAAAGTCAAAAATTTAATTCTCCGCCGCGAGAGGGCCCCAAGACGCCCGGAGAGAGCCCCATGAGGCCCCAAAGGGCTCCCAAGAGGCCCCAAGGAGCCCCCAAGAGGCCCCCAAGAGGCCCCAAAAATATCCCAAGAACCCCCAAACACCCCCAAGAGGCTTTAAAACTGCCTCCCAGAGGGCCCCGAGAGGCGCACCACGTGATCCCAACACAGCGGTCTCCCCCTCTCATTAGCCCTTCTCTTTGTCGTCGCCTTCTTCGTCGTCGTCGTTGTCGTATCTGATGGCGCAGCGAGGCCATTTTTCGTTCAAGCCACCGAAGGTCCCAAGAGCTCCTCCTCCTCTTCCTCATTCTCTTCCTCCTCTACCTCCCCCTCCTCCTTCTCCTAATTCCCCGTGATGTTTCGCGTTCCGCCCCGCCAAAGGTCTAGCAGAAGCAGCTCTCCTCACTCTCCCAAGTCTCTGCTGCGGATTTCTTCCGCGACACCTCGGCTGTACCCCAGATATCCACATAATCTGTCCTCTTCATCCTCTTCCTCCTCTTCATCCTCCTCCTCTTCCTCCTCCTCCTTCTCCTCATCCTCTCCATGCTCGAATGGAGGATCAAGGTTTTCGGATTGTTTGTTCTGGTGGGGTTTCTGGCCTGGGGATTTCCTTCAGTATCTGCGATTCGCCGGGAGCGTTTTGGGGGCGCCGGAAACGTCGCGAACGGCCCCCAGAGGCCCGAGTCATGGCCCGAAAACCACGCGGGGGCATCAAGGGAGGAGAAGGAGGGGAGATGGACGAGGAGGACGAGGGGGGAAAGGGGGGCGAGGACGAGGGGGAGGGGGGCGCGGGGGAGGGAACGAAGACGGGGGGAGGGAAATGCGGGGGATTGAGCACCTGGACCCGGTGCCCTTGCCTACCTTGCCGGAGAGGGCCGGCTGAGTCCGAGGGGCCCTCGGGGGGGTTCAAAACCTGCGCCGCCTCTTGCATTGCCTAGGGGCCCCCTTGGCGGCTCGGGGGAAACCGTTCCTAATTCGGGGGGGGGTTCTCACCCTTTGCCGCTTGACTCGCGGAGAGGCCGAGCGGCGCCGCGCCGCGCCGCCAGGGATGGGGAGAATGGACAAAAAAAAAACGGAGAGGGGGGAGAGGAAGAGGAGGAGGAGGAGGAGAAGGAGGAGGAGGGGGAGGAGGGGGAGGAGGAAAAGGAAAAAGGAAAAGGGGAAGGAGGAAGAGGAGATAACGGAAAGTAGTCTAATCCGCTTCGTCGGAGATATGCTCGCAACTCCGACCTCAGAAGCGCCTTGCTTCGCATCGGTCCCGCCGTTTTCGCTTAAGATATCATCGCAGTTCTGGGGCCCGAGACATTCTCAGTTGAGGTGTTCCAGCCACTGTCGCTTGACACACTCTCGCAAGTCTCACTTCGGGGGTGCCTTGCACCATGGGGGTTCGGCCACTTTCGCGTGCGACTTCTCGCAACTCTAAGTTCAAGGATGCCTTGGGCAGAGGTGTTCAGACCGCTCTTCGCTTGGAACTTCCTCGCACGGCTGACTTCGGATATGCCCTCCCCTGAGCGGAGGTGTTCAGGCCGTTTTCACCCGGGACGTCCTCGCAACACTGACCTCGGCGACGCATTGTCCCATGGTCGTCTGACCACGTTTGCCTGAGACCCTCGCGCCTTTTCGTGGCGCGATGATGCGAGCAACTGGTCAGGCCACCGCCGCTTGATATACGCATGTGTATGCGCACGCACAGTTACACTGACCTTGCATATACATTGCACATATCCAGACAAACGTGTATATATATGTACAAATGTACTATGCATTCATAGACGCATGCGCGTGCGCATGTACGCACATTCGCACTCCGCTAGCGTGCGAGTTCCAAAGGACCAAAGTGCATGGCGCGCGGCGCCAATTCAGCTTTGTGTATATATATATGTGTATACACGCGCACGCGGTTGTGGGCACCAGGAGCAGAGTACCTCAGCCGTTGGCGCAGTAACCCCGAGGCCAGGCCCGCAACATCTGAGGCCAAGTTTCTTGAGGGGGGAATCGTTGGGAGAAGGAGAGACGGAGGAGGAGGAGGAGGAGGAGGAGGAGGAGGAGGAGGAGGAGGAGGAGGAGGAGGAGGAGAGGCGGAGGAGGAGGTGGAGGAGGAGGAGGAGGAGATGAGGATGAGGATGGAGGAGGAGGAGGAGGAGGAGGAGGAGGAGGAGGAGGAGGAGGAGGAGGAGGAGGAGGAGGGGGGGGGCGGGAGGGGGTAACGAGACCGACGGCACGAGGCGACGTACGTAGGACATCAAGGTGATTGCCCCCCCCCTGCTGCGTCAGAGCACTGCTCATCGCTCCCGCTGAGGACCACAACTGTGTGCTTGACTCCCGCGAGTGCCTCTGCCTTGTCGACGCGCTGCTGCGCTCCGTCTTTCACGTGGACCACCCGCACACGCCACCTCCCCAGACTTCCACATGAGCGAGGGTTATGTCAGTGATCGTTGTGCTGAGCTGTGATGTGATGTGATGTGATATGGTGGAGAGGTGGTGGTGGTGGTGATGGTGATGATGATGCTGATGCAGAAGCAGATGCATATTATGATGATTACGACGATGATGATGGTGCTGATGATGATGACGACGATGACGTCGATGATGATGACGATGATGCTGATGTTGATGATGATGATGATGATAATAATGTTTACCATGGTGATGATGATGGTGACGGTGTTGATGGTGATGCTGATGATGGTGATGGTGAGGATGACGGTGACGAGGGCCGTCCTCGCCGAGACGCGCACTCTCGCCAGCCTGGTGAGCGTGACTTTCGCGATCTACCTCGCCAGAGGGGCAAGAGGGCGAGGTCGAAGCCCAACGCGCGGAGGCGAGGAGGTTGCCCGACAGGTGCTCGGCAGCCGAGGGAGCGTCAGAGCGCAGGCGGTGCCGTGAACTTCCGCTTGAGAAGAACAGGATGCATAAGCATACGCTTCTGGAGGTCCGCGCGAGTTTCTTGGATCGGGCGTCGAGTAATGCGGGTTCAATAAATGGGGGGGTGAAGACTTGTGCGCCTTTTGTGCCCTGAAGGGACCCTAGAGGGGCCCCGTGGGGCCCCCAAAGGAGCACGAAAGGCGCATGTTTCCCCTCCCCTCCCCTTCCCCCCCACCGTTTCTCGCCCCCTCCATCAATTATCGCACGATTGGATCGGCGCTGGGCGGCGCTGGAGGCGTCGCCAGGAGTGTCTGGCGCCGACCCAAGAGATCCGTTCGGACCCCTGAAAATTTATGTTCGGCCGACTTGTTCTACTCTCTACTCCCTGTGTGAGTGGCGGCCAGTACGCCGGCGGAAGGGCGGCGGAAGCCAGGGGTGGAGTTAAATCGGGCATGTCCTTCTACAGGAGGAAGCTTCAAGAATAGTACACGAAATGATATGGTGACGATGTTTTGGTGCTCGTTTAACTATAGTTGATAATTTTTACTATGTTATTTGTCTTCCAAAATCCGCCTGTAGGAGGACAGGCCCAACCTAAAGATAGGGCGGCGAGATCTGTACATATCCTATGTATGATACCGGAGAAAAGCCCCAATCATATATTTTTAGGGCTTTAGGGCAATGGGGCTATAAGGCTATAGGGCTAGAAGGCTATGGGGCTATAGGGCTGCAGGGCTACAGGGCCATAGGGCTATAGGGCCATTGGGTATACGTAGGGTTATGGGGCTGTAGTGCTATAGGGTTATACGGCTATAGGGCTATAGGACTATAAGGCAATAGGGCTATTAGGGCTATAGGGCTACAGGGCTATAGGGCTATAGGACTATATAGAGTTACCGGGCACCTGGGCACCCGGGCACACCCGGGCACACGGGCACCCGGGCACCCGGGCACCCGGGCACCCGGGCACCCGGGTGCCCATGGGCACCCGGGCACCCCCGGGCACCCGGGCACCCGGGCGCACCCCCGGGCACCCGGGCACCTGGGCACCCGGACGTGCGGCGAAAATCTGCTTCAAACCTAACCTAACCATATGAATCTTGAATCCGCTAGGACCCCTGCGGCGGCAAACCTAACCTAACCATATGAATCCGCTAGGACCCCTACAGGGGCAAGCTCTGAGTGGGGAATAGATCGCGTCGCCCTAGGAGGGCGGCGGAAGCAAGGGGCGGAGCGTCAACGTTTCTGGTGATCGTTTTCTTCTTCATTGTTTTGCCGACCGGCGCGGGCCCTCGCCCCCCCCCATGGAGTAGATTTTGGCAGTTTTTGGCGCCTGCTTCGAGCAGGTGGAGTCTCCCCCATGGGACGCACTGTTGCAAGCAGTCGTATGAAGCAGAGGTCCGGAGCCAGACCCCCCCCCTTCGCCCTCCCCCCTCCCGCCCCAATGCCGAAACGCCCAATAAGACAACGCTCACTTTCTGGGCCCGGGCGCTTCGAGAGCCTCGCCTTCGGGGTGCCCTCGCCCTCGGCTCCTCCAGCGCGGGGGCCTCACTGGGGGCCTCGGGAGGGCCCGTGGAGAGGCGCTTGCAGCCGGAGGCCCCCGCGGCCCAGAGAGGCCCCGATGAGGCGCCTTCGGGGTGCCCTCGCCCCCGACGCCTCCAGAGCGGGGGCCTCCTCGGGCCTCGGGCGGCCCGAGGAACAGCGGCTGGCGGCTGGAGGCCCCCAGGGCCCGGCAGGCCCCCGACGAGGTCCACGGAGCCCTCCCGGTGGCCCCTGGAGACGTCCTCCTCGAGGCCCAGAGCGGGGCCGGAAACAGCCAGGCGCTCCTCGATCCTGCGCCCCTTCCAAACAGGGTCAGGAGCGGCCAAGCGCCTCGCTCGTGCCTCCTGCTCCTTCGTCGCCCATGCTCCTCGGCCTCTCCGGTGGAGTCCGGCCAGGTGGGCTCGGAGGATACCTCCTCATAGTGCAGCGGCGGTGCGGCTCGATGTGGAGCCCGATTCTATCCACGCCGACGGCGCCGATGTGTTGCCGGCATCGACGATGCGTCCTGGAGGCATCGTCGGTGCATCGCCGATGCATCCCCGATGCATTGGCGATGCGGCGCGATCCTCCGACCCCATCTGGCTACTCGGACCCCATCTAGGAAGCCTCTGTACACGTCCTCTGGCGCCCCCCCCCTTCCTCCGCCTTCCCTGGTTGATTCAAGCTTCGCGCGGCCCGCTTAGCTTCGACCGGAAGAGGTGCGCTCTCGACCCGCGAATCAAAAAGCTGTACACCTTAGGCGATGCTTAAGAAAACCTAAGTTTTCGGCCAGAGTCTCGATTATTCTTAACGTTTCAATGTAAATCCTAAGATTTGAATGGAATTTTGGGTTTTTATTCAAGTTCTGAGACTATGAATTTCTTAACCCATGATTTCTAAAGCATTTCGCAGGGTGTATACGTCCTCTGGCGCCCCAGTGACGCCGGCATCCCGAGCGGGCTATCGATGCTCCCGGCTCTTCCTGCGAGGCCGTGGCCTCGCACGCTCCGCCCTTGGAGGGCGGGCCCAGGCGCATGCTCGCATGAGCGCTCCGTTCCGTTCCGTTCCGGGAGCCGACGACGACGACGACGACGACGACGACGACGACGACGACGACGACGACGACGACGACGACGACCACGACGGATTCAGGGCTTCCCGAACCAGCCTTGTGCCCTTGTGCCCCATCGTGCTTCCCATTCTTTGGCCCCGATGTTCTGTGTGTGTGTGTGTGCGTACGTGCGTGCGTGCGTGCGTGCGTGCGTGCGTGCGTGCGTGTGTGTGTGTGTGTGTGTGCGTGTGTGTGTGTGTGTGTGTGTGTGTGCGTGTGTGTGTGTGTGTGTGTGGACTGCGCGGGCACTCTCTGGCACCCCGTGCGCCTTGGTACGTCCCACGCCCCCCATACAAAATTGGCCCACGTGACACAAGATCAACGAGGATGCAAGAAGGGGCACGAAAAACAGCGTGACGATATAGCATAAGGGATGTAATGCCAACATGGTATTCAAATGCGTCGTCGAAAGATGTTGCGCCTTAGTGGCCAATCTATCAACCAGAGCACCCATATGAATTTGAGAGTTGCTTCGGCACAGTTGAGCCACATATTCAGCGGGAGCCACATCCTGCGATTAATGGCAGCGTCTTCAGTTCGAGCAGCGTGCGTTTTGTTTCAACGACATTCGAAGCATGCTAAAAAAACATGTCACTTCAAGCCAGCTCCATCGAATAATTGATGGCGAGGTTACGACCACGACTGCTTCTGTGAAAATCAGGGTGGTGCTGTGCCTCTACCGATTTCTAGGCGACCGTCATTTCGCGCTGTGACTTCATCTTGCTTTTTGTGGGCCGTATGCCAAGACAGGGAGATACTGGGGAACCGGCCAGGGGGTGGGGACGAGGAGGGAGGGGAGTAGGGATGGGGACGTGACTGGATGTCAGGTGGATGGGAGGGGCGGGCGGGGGGGGCGGGGCGGCAGAGTAGAGGGGAGAGACGGGAGGGGCGAGCGGAGAAGCGGGAGGAGAGGGGTGAGGAGCGCGCATGGAGCGAGGGGACGTCTGCTGACCTGTGCTTCTCGGCAGTGTGGCGGTCCGCCCCAGCGCCTCCGCGCTCGCCTTCTCCGCGCGGGGAGGGGGGGGAGGGAGCCCCGGCACCGGCGGCGGAGGTCTTCGTACGTGCCCGCGCCCGTGCCAGTGGAGGTCGGCCATGCCCTTCCCTGGGAGGGGTCGGGGAAACACAAGGCTGGAGTGGGCAGGAGCTCGGGTCTGCCGACGTTTTTCGACGAGCGCGTCCTAGATTTGGGCGGTCCAGTTGTCGTGGGGTGTCTGCAGCGGGAGCTCGTGTCAGATTTCAGACGTGGTCTCGTCATTTTCATGATGGCCCCGTCAGGCCAACCCGAGTCCCCCCGTACCCGAGTCTTACGTCTCCCCGAAGGGGGGGGGCTGGGGGAGGAGCAGGAGCAGAAGGGGAAGAGCGGTCAGCATCGTTTCACAGATCCCCATCCTCACTGCCCACTGGGTCATGGTGTCTCAGCCCCACCAGCCCGCCCCCCCCCCCCCCAAGGTGGGGATAGACTCCGCGATACCCGAGGGGACCATCACGTATCCCTATCGGGGGGGGGGGGGGAATTTCACCACCCACCACAACACCCCAACCCAATCCGAAGGGCCCAATTTGACTTACATTCCCAGTGAGGGGGGGCGTCGGGGAATATTGAAAACACACATGTGGAGCCAGTAACCCCACCAACCCGACATTTGGGTCTTCGGGCTCGGTTGGGGTGGTCTAGTAGGAAGTCAGAACTGGTCAGTGGGGCCAAGGCCAGGCCGAATCGGGCCGATCGGTCAAGCGATGCTCAGGAAGGAATGGGGGAGGGGGCAGGGGGGAAGCAGGAGGAAGAGGCGGAGGAGCATAGGAGCAGGAGGTGAGCTGGAAACGATTGGCAACATGTGAGGAGGAGAAGGGGAGGGGGGGACTGGAGAGCGAGGGCGAGGAAGGAGGAAGCAGGAGTCGGCGGCGAGCGAGGAGGGGAAGTGAGAAGGAGAAGGCCTCCTCAGAAGGCGGCGGGACTTCTCAGAAACCCTCGCGCCTTCGGACAGGTGTTTTGTGTCTTCGGGGAAGGCTCAGAACACTCCTCAGAAGGCCGGGGGGTCGTCCGACCCTCGGAGAAGGCCTCCTCCTTCTCACCTCCCCCCCTCGCTCGCCGCCGAAGGAGTGGGCGGAGGGCGAGGAGGAGGGGAGAGGAGCAGGAGGGAGCAGGGCACGACCGAGGCAGGGGGGAGGAGAGAAGGAGCGAAAGGGTGCGGAGGGCGCGCGCCTGCCGGCACGGGTGCCGGGCCCGCCACGGCCCCGCGCCGCGCCCGCGCCGGCTCGGGGCGGCTGCGCGTCGGGGGGGCCTCGCCACGAAGCAGACGCGTGCCGAGGGAAGCGCGTCCGATGAAACAGACACGACGGAGAGTGATCGTTTTTTATGCACTGTTCTGCCGATCGGCGGCGCGGGCCTCTTCACCCCCCCCCCTCCCCCCCCTCCATGGAGCGGATCTTGGCCGTTTTGGGCGCCGGTCTCGAGCAGGTGGAGGTCCCCCCCCCAGAGGACGCATTGTTGCAAGCAGTCGCAGTACAGTCGACGCGCCTAGTAAGGACGCGTGCCTTCATCTAGGGTACCCTTGAGTCCTTGCCTCTGCGGCCCGTCCTTCGCCGTTTTCACTGGCCGCCCCCCGCCCCAAAAATCCAACTTCGGCCTCCAAAGGGTCTCGCGTCCTTGCCACCCGTCCTTAATACACGTTTTGACTGTCAGCAGCGGTCGGGAGCCAGACCCCCCCCCTCCCCACCCCCCTTGCCGCCCAGTGTCGAGACGCCGAATGGGAACACGCTCGCGAGGTTTTTGCGGCAGCCTTCGGCCTCCGGGGGGGCCCGCATCGGGCCCCTCGGGACCCTGGAGAGAGCCGTATCTCCGGGATGGAAAAAAACACGGGGCCCCGGGAGGGGCGCAGGCCTCCTGGGGGGTCCACGTTTCGAATAGGGGATCCCGGCGGCGCCTCCGGCGCCGCCCCTGGCGCGCTCCGCGCGCCAGGGAGGGGGGTCCAGCGCCGATCCGAGAAATCCGCGCGGACCTCCGAGTTTTTATGTTTATGTCACTTTTTGTTCCCCAATCGAAGACATCACGACGTCGGATCTCTGTCGGCGAGTACAATCAGGCGATCGCGAGCATGGATCGAGGGGGCGTGGTTTCGCGACGGGTCCCGTTTCCATGAGAAGTCGCGGGCTTCCGCCGCCGAACGAGGCGGCACAGGCCGCACTTTGGGGAGGGTACCGTCCCCCGATCCATGGATTTGGCCACCGGGCGCCAAATCCATGGGTCACTAATCCATGTTTGCGCGGGGGTGTGGTTTGGGATCGGCACCGTCGGGGCCTGGGGGGCTCGGCGCCGTCCTCGTCGGGCCTCCTCGGGGCGCGGCGGAGAGCTCTGTCAAGGCACCCGTCCGCCCTCCAGGGTGCCCCACGGGGTGCCGATTGCAAACCGCATCCTTTCCGAACCACACCCTTCGGAGTCGCCTGCCTGGGGTCTCCTCGGTCGTGCTCGAGCTCCTGGGGCCTTGCGCGGGGCACGGGGGGGTGCGAGAAGGACTCGGGGCGAACTGCGGGCCATGGGGAATCGCGTGCTGTTCCTGGAGAGCAGTTTTGCCCTGGTGCGCTTTCGCTCCTCGGCCCTGCCGGTGCAGTGGGGAGCCCATGCCAAGAAGCACCCTGCCGGCCTCCAGGGTGCCCTCGGTTTCTTGGGCTTCGATGGTTTTTTGCGATAGGGGGGCGCGACGTTCCCACACGAGCGACCGGCGGACGCCCTGGGGTCTCAGGGTTGGGTCTCTCGTGGGAGGTCTCTCGTGGGCTGGCCTCCGCTGCAGGCACGCCCGTAGGCTGCCGCCGCGGGCGGCACGAGCGAGCGAGAGCGGGGGCGGCGCCTGGGTCGAGGACCCGGTGCCCTCGGGACTCGCCTGCTCCGTGCCGGAGTGGGGCGGGAGGGAGGCGGGGGGGCGTCCGCGGGGGCCGCGGGGGGAGGGAGGGGGGGAGGGGGGAGGAAGAGGGGGAGGGGGAGGGGGGGGGGGCAGGGGGAGGGGGGGGAGGGGGGGGGGGGAGGGGCAAGCTAGGTGCGCGCGCGTCATATCTGACGTCCTACCCCTCCCTCCCATCCCTTACCATGGCTCTGATTTTCTCTTCGCGGTGTGCGCGTGCGTGGTGGTGGTGGTGCTGGTGCTGGTGCTGGTGGTGGTGGTGGTGCTGCTGTGCTGGTGGTGGTGGTGGTGGTGGTGGTGGTGGTGGTGTGTGTGGTGGTGGTGGTGGTGGTGGTGGTGGTGGTGGTGGTGTGTGTGTGCGTGTGTGCGCGTGTGCTGTGGCATGGCACGGGAAATGACGCCAGCGCTGCAGCGGGAGCACGAGTCGAAACGGGCGGAAGCGCGGAAATGAGGCCAGCGCTGCAGCGGGAGCACGATTCGGAACGAGCGGAAGCACGGAAATGAGGCCAGCGCTGCAGCGGGAGCACGATTCGGAACGAGCGGGGCCCGAAAATGAGGCCGGCGCCTCGGCGAGAGCAGCATTTTGAAAAAAAACACAAGCGAAAACCCGTTTCCCGGGAATCCTGTGTGTAAAAAACAATACGCGGGGGGGTGTCGGATATCTTCGGGACGCCATCAGGGGAAGTGGGAGAGTATTTTCATATTGTGTAATTGTGGAGGGGGGCGGGGGCGTTCGCGGGGGGCGGGGGGAGGAGGCGTCCGCGGGGGAGGGGGGGGGGGGTCCGCGGAGGGCGGGGAGGGGGGGCGTCCGCGGGGGGCGGGGGGAGGGGGGCGTCCACGGGGGGTGTGGGAGGAGGCGTCCGCGGGGGGAGGGGGAGGGGATTGGGCCAGGGAGGCAGAGGGAGGTTCGAGAAGGGCGGTGCGGCCTTTCAGGCGCGGCCCGGGGGGAGGGGGGGGGCGGCCGAGGGCTGAGGAGTCAGATGGAGGAGGAGGCGGAGGAGGGGGATGGAGATGGGCGCCGGGGCCTTCGAGGCGTGACCCAAGAGGAGTGGCTGTTTTTTGTTTTTGTGTGTGTGTGTGTGTGTGTGTGTGTGTGTGTGTGGGTTGTTGGGGGGGCAAGGATCCCTATATACTATGGACATGATCCCAGGCGTTTTCTTGGAGCTTCTTTTCTTCGTAGAATGTGTGTGTGTGTGTATATCTGGACCTGGAGTACGATGTAAGAAGATGCTTGGAGTGAAGTCCATGTTCTTAGCGTAAAATTGTCTTAATTCTGGGCTGGGTTGCAGGCCTCCTCGAGCAGCCAGGACGGCTGGGTGCACCAAGTTCGGGCCTCCTTATCAGGAGGCTGAATTCGACTCCCTCCTCATCGTTGACGCCCCGCTCCTTTCCGCTCTCTGGGCTGGGTTGCAGGCCTCCTCGAGCAGCCAGGACGGCTGGATGCACCAAGTTCGGGCCTCCTTACCAGGAGGCTGAATTCGACTCCCTCCTCATCGTTGACGCCCTGCTCCTTTTCGCTCTCCCACCTTCCCCTGGTCATCCTGCTCATCCCGCTCCTCGCACTCCAGCTCCTGCTGCTGCTGGTTCTCCTCCTCCTCCTCCTTTTCTTCCTGTTCATCCTCCTGCTCATCTGGCACCTCCTCCTTTCACTTCCTCCTCCTCCTCCTCCTCCTCCGATTTCGCATAATCACAAGACAGCTCGCCGCTTGGGCCCTGGGGCCAGCCCAAACGGCGAGCATAAATCGGGCGTAGCCCCGCACGCAGTCCCAAGTCCAGACAGTCAGGGCCACGTCGGCGTGGTCGTAGTCGCCTCGAGTGTCGTCGCGATGGCGGTGCTGGTCAACGTCGTCGTCGCCGCTGTCGCCGTCGCCGGCGCCATCTCCGTCGTCTTCGTTGTCCGTCTTCGTCCTTACCCTCCTCCTATCCCTCCGCGTCTTCCTCCCCGTCCTCGTCGTGTTCCTCATCCTCCTCGTTCTCCTCGTCCTCCTCGTCTTTGTTGTCCTCGTCCTCGTTGCCGTTCTCCTCCTCGCCCTCCGCCTCCTCCTCACCCTCCTCTTCCTCGTCCTCTTCTTCCACGTCCTCGTCCTCGTCTTCCTCATCCTCCTCCTCCTCCTCGTCCTGCTCCTGGCCCCCCATCTTTTCCTCCTCCTCCTCCTCCTCCTCCTCCTCCTCCTCCTCCTCTTCCTCCT